CCCTGCCGATGGGGAAAGCAGCGGAGGCTAGCATGGTGGCAAGAGAGCTGGCAGGGGCTCTGACGAAGTGAGGACGGACCCCACAGCTAGGAACAAGTCAGGTCAGCGCAGGTGTTGAAGACACAGCACCAGAGGACGTGCCGGACCGAGGCCCGGAGGGCAGCGTGACCCACAGGTGGGGTACTGGGGCTACGGCAGGCAGAAGCGGCCGCACCAGGCAGGAGAAACTCCAGGAGAGCCCAAAGGGGTACAGCCGGGGTGGGTATCACCGCCAAGTTCCGAGGCAATGAGCCGGAGGAAGGGCCAGGAAAACAAGGAGCCAAGGACGGGCCAGGAGGGAACCAAAAGGGTATAGAATAGGCTACTCAGCAAGTAGAGTAGCTGAGCAGTTAACTTAAACTTTGAAAGGAAAAGCTGTTGGGTAACCCTGGCTGAAGGAGCAGAGCTGGGGCAGTGCCCTTATAATGTAAGGTTAACGGGGTCTTGGTGAGACCAGAGTCAGCACGGGAATCCCGCTCGGTGCAGGATGGAGAGTAGGCGAGGAGGTCCGTGGGTCGGGCTTGTGAGCAAGCCTCACGACTGGGGTAAGGGTCACTTAGAAGCAGACCAGAGGGTATCATTCTACAGCTGGGGAACAAGGACCAACAGAGGAAGGAGGTGCTAAAGGTGGTGTAAGGCTGGGGTACAGGGGTGGTGGAGCCCCATGAAGTGACCGTCGGGGGATCCTGGGCCACGGGGTATACCAGGAACTGACCCTTAACACTGAGGAACACCAAGTCGTGGTGGGCGAGAAAGAGGTCGGGGACACGGGGGAAAAGAGAACTGCTCCGACACCTAAGAGATCCTCACAGGTGCGTGACATCTACGTACAGGACCAGAACTGCCCGAGAGTGGGTAATCGAAGCCCGGCAGTCACACACTTTAATACCCAAAACTTCAAACAATATTTTTCTATGAATTCATATCCATCATCTAACTTCTCTGTTCTCCTTCCCCAGTTACTGCTGCTCTTATTCTCAGGTGTATATTACTTGCTGCTCCATCTCTCACTTCCTCCCATCTTCTCTCTCTTTGCAGGTCTGGCTTATTCCTCCCACTAGTCTTCCTCTTCCTTTCAATCACTGTTGCATTCCTCATTTCTCCTTCCTGACCTCTTCTCCTCCTGTTCTTCCTGCCAGCTGGACTCTTCCCTTATAGCATTCTTCAAAAAAGCTTCCTCCAAAACTGCTGATCCCACCACACCTTTCTTCCCCACTTTCATCCATCCTCCATTAGACTTTGGACCTTTGCTTCTGTTCTCTGATTCACTTCTCATCTCTTGGTCTACTTTCCCATCCATAACTGTCACTCTTCTCTTCAAGACCACCACTGATGTTGTTCTGGGCTCCAAGAATTCATACTCCTTCTCCATCTCCATGCTCTGTTACATTGATGTCAATGTACCTGGCATCAATCCAGGAAGTAAACTAGATCTCCATCCAGCCACTGAACTTGATCTTAGCCACAGGTGGTCAAGTAGTTACACAGCTGATGGGAACCACAAGGATAGGTGAGTGCAACCCATGTGACTCAGATATATGGTAGTGATCTTGACCACCAATAAGCACAGTCCCCCTCAGCACTGACTGCTGCCCAAGTCATGGTGAGCCATGACATTGCTAAGCTGTGCCTTTCTTTCCCATTTCCAATGATTCCTGTTTCTTCACCAGTCCTTAATGCCTGAAAAAGACCAAAAAATGGGCCCCAAACAGTTCACCGAGAAACCCTCTGTCACCCTCTCTCTCAGTGTGGCACATATGATTAGTATTGCCTCACCCCCTGTGAAGTAAAGCCAGACCAGGCTGCCCTACCCCGCATCTGCATATATATTTTGGGGGGATTCCAGGACTCATGACAAGAACACCTGGTTCCACTCATGAGTTGGGGGTTAATTAGCACATTAATCCTTTGTGGGATTTCTGGAGTATGCACACATGTACTGAGCAGTGTTGAGCTGCGGAGTCACTTTGGCTTGAAATCCTGTTGACTCTGGTAAGGCCCAGCCCAACGAATTATATGGTAAATCATGAGCATTTTGGCTTTGGCTTAATACCATGCTTAATTTGTACTACATTTCAGTAGGTATAAAAATGCTGCTTAAAAGTGTGTTTGTGGAGTACCTGTGCTAAAACTTGCAGCAGTTTCCAAAAAAGGTAACATGTCTCAGTTCCGGATGAACTAAGTCTATGGGTGCTATATGTAAATTAGAACTACATTTAATTTCAAGCTTCTTGTTTTCAGATTTTCTTTTCACTTCCATAGGCTCAGGGAGAGCAGGGTCTTATGGCAAGAAGAGGGGGAAGAGGCTGCAGCAGAAAAAAGTTGGGGAGATGCAGAGGGCAAAGGGATTACCTGCCCTGCAGATTTATTTTCTCTATTGTAGCAGTAGGAAGGGGACAAATTCAAGGCAAACCTCCAATAATTGAATTCTATACCTGGAAAATAATAACAAATTGATGTTTTCCATATATAACAA